GATCAGCTGCCTCCTGCACATCTCCCACTGGGGATGTGCCCGCAACCCAGGTACATGCCCTTGACCGGAATCGAACCTGGGACCTTTCAGTCCGCAGGCCGACGCTCTATCCACTGAGCCAAACCGGTTTCGGCACGAACTTTCTTTTTTTAAAAAACTTTTTTTTTTCTTTTTCACAATATACAAAATAAATCTATTAGCAGATTGTAGATACAGAATAATTAGCCATTTACATGCAATAAACATTAATATTTCAAGAAAAAATATTTTAAATATAATATTACCGAAACTGCACTAATATAGTATAATATCACAAAAGTTGTAGGAAATATTAAAAATCTGCAAATGACAGAATTATTTCTATAATGTTCTAAAATATTTTTTTTCCTCTGGCTCTATTTTTGTTCATCAGTTTATGTTGTTCATTATATTCTGAAAATGAGTGAGAACATATTTATTTTTCTCCAACTGGCTTATTTCACTTAACATAATGCTCTCCAGGCCCATTCATGCTGTTGCAAATGGTAAGAGTTCCTTCTTTTTATAACAGCGTAGTATTCCATTGTGTAGATGTACCACAGTTGTTTTTTTTAAAATATATTTTATTGATTTTTTACAGAGAGGAAGGGAGAGAGATAGAGAGCTAGAAACATTGATGAGAGAGAAACATCAATCAGCTGCCTCCTGCACACCCCCCACTGGGGATGTGCCCGCAACCCAGGTACATGCCCTTGACCGGAATCGAACCGGGGACCTTTCAGTCCGCAGGCCGACGCTCTATCCACTGAGCCAAACCGGTTTCGGCCACAGTTTTTTAAATCCATTCATCTGCTGATGGGCACTTAGACTAAAACTACCTAAGAACTTTCAAAAAAGGTAGAAGCCAAGGTTCTGGCTCAAACATATGATCACAGGTTATTTATTTATGTATGTATGTATGTATGTATGTATGTGTGTGTGTGTTTAAATCACCTGAGGATATGTTTATTAATTTTAAAGAGAAGGGAAGGGAGAGATAGAGATAGAAATAGAAGTTGGGATAGAGGGGGGGTGGAGAGAGAGAAACATTGATGTGTGAGGGAAACATGGATTGCTTGCTTCCTGTACACACTTTGACTAGGGATTGAACAGCTGAAACCTAGGCATGTGTCCTGATTAGGAATTGAACCTGTACCTTTTTGGTGTATGGGATGCCACCCCAACCAACTGAGCCACTTGGCCAGGGCTGGTCACAGTTTTTTTGTAGGCATGGGTGTGGGGAAGGGCAGTCAAGCACCATTGCTGCCAGGTCCTGCTGCAGTGGAAGGGCAGAATTTTGCTGCATACACTACATACTTCCCCATAGTTGACAATTAATTACCTGCTAATTTTTATTTTTAGAAATGGGCCATACAATCAGTTTTGAATCTAAATGTGTTGTCATTCAACCCACATTTCTTGTTTCTCCATATTGTGTAAAAGAAGGTTGTGAAAGACTTGGTCAATTTTTTTATTGTACTCTTTTGTCTTTATCAAAGAATAGAGCAGACTTTCTGAAATGTTTGCCCTGGGAGAAAATTTCTAGCTACTAGGGATCATGTAAAGAGCTAAAAAATTCTCTACAAGTGAAAAGAGCTAAACCTTCCAGGGCAGTATTAGCTTAAAGTCCTTATATTTTAGTGAGAAGAGAGGCTTTCACTCTCTGAATGACAGACACTAAGCAAGTAATTTCATCGCTCTGCATAGGTGTATTGATCTCTCAATTGGCTAAGACTATGAATATATATTTCCCTTGTCCACCTGTCTTCCAATCCAAATCTCTAATATAAGAAATAATCCATTTCCCCACAAGAAGCCCTTAATACATATTCACTAGTGCCAAATGGCTTTTTCTTGCAAACAGGCAGTGGACAGTAACAGATACCATGCCTGGTTGAATAAATACATCATTGCAAAATACAGAAACATCACTTATCTACAATGAATGTATCTGCACTTTTTCAGAGTTCTAAAACAGACATTTTTTTTTCCTCTCACAAAAGAGAATGTTTCTATTTCCACAGCTCAGATGCTTTTCATTTTAACCCTGACATTAAAGCCACATTCAGCACTTTATCTTCTTTTGTGTGGGCCTGTGTTCTAGTTTCTACTACAGTCACAGTTTTTGTTGCAGGAAAAGAGAACTCTCATGATGGTTGCTGCTTATAATTTCAGCCTTAATAGTCTAAGCAGATTTTAGCTCTGCCGTTTGATTCACAACTTACATTTCCTTTTTTTTTAAGAAATGAAAAAAGGGACTCTGCAGCATATTTTGTGTGTAAGACAGTAGCCATATGAACAGGGTTTCCAGACCCAATTCTATCATGGCTCCTCTCATACCAACAAACAGTTCTTGCTCAGACACCAGCTGGGGGTCCAAGAATTCAGCTTAATTCTGACACTATCTACCGGGAGCATCAGATTCCACAGGGTAAGGGGTGAGACCTACAACCCCCCCCCCCCCACGCCCCGCCCCCCCCCCCCCCCCCCCACACACACACACACTTTAGGTGCCAACAGCAAGCCCAGGCTCTTATCTGTGCCTCTGACCAACTGACTATAGATTGGAGGTTCCAAAGACCATCCAATTTAGAATGCTAATCTCAAGTTGTTACTTATACTTCTGACTGACTGACTATATATCAGAGATTCCCACAACCCCCTCCTTGGGCTTGATTAATTTGCTAGAATGGCTCACAGAACTCAGAGAAACATTTTACTGACTAGATTATCAGTTTATTAGAAAAGGATATGAAAGACTACAACCAGATGAAGAGACACCTAGGGCAAGGTCCTGAACAAAGGAGCTCCTGCCCGTGTGGAGCTTGGGGCCCCTACAAGGCAGCACTGGCATGGAAGTAGTCTAGTTCCCCAGCCTGAGAGTTCTCTGAAAAAGGAAAAGCTGTCTTCCTGGGTTTTTATGGAGGCTTCATTACACAGTCATGATTGACTGAGTCATTGACCACTGGCACTGAATTTAATTTCCAGCTCCTTTCCCTTATCCCAAAATGGGGTAGATGGGACTCAAAGTTACCTCTAATCATTTGTTTGGTTCTCTTGGCAACCAGATCCAACCCCTGGTTTGGGTCCAAAAGTCACCTTATTAATATAACAAAAGATACCTTGATCACTCTCGACACTTAGGAAATTCCAAGGGTTTGGGGGAGCTGTGGATGATAAACACCGAATATTGTATAAATCACAATAGTGCAGCATAGGAATGCAATTCCCCTATAATCTCTTTCTTTTATGAGAAAAAAAGGACCTTAGTTCATTATTTACTTTAAAGAAGTCAGTGTGAATACAAGTCATTTTCTCTCCTGCTATCATTTGCTCAAAGACCTTTTGCAATGGGTTTTATGTAAGAAGAAATGCAGGAGTTGCTGTGGTGAGGTTTATTTCAAGAAACCATTAAATACAAGCTAAACCTGAATGGCAGCATCATTTGCGTATGGGGAAACAGGGTCTATAAATGCATCAATTCCTTCAACTTGACAGAAAAGAAAAGGGCTAATAATAAGTGAAAAAGGCCCTACACAGTTGCTTAAAGGCTACTTCTTTGGCCTCACCTCTTACCACTGCCCCCTCCACACTGTCCTCCAGTCACAGTGACCTCTTTCCTGGTCCTTGCTTGCCAAGCACATTCCCTTCTGGGGGTCTTTGCCTCTTTGCTAGCCCTTCTGCCTGGAACGCTTTTCCAAGATAATCACAGGACTGGCCTGTTCTCATGCCTCAGATCTCTGCGGGAATGTCAGTTACTCTGGGAGGTCTTTCCTGACCACCGTCACTGAAATAGCACACAGACTGCTCACTTTCTACTCCTTCACTTTGCAGTATTATTATTATTTTTAGTGGCAATTATACACTTGCACATTATACATTTAAGGCATTTTTTTGGGTCACTATATCAGAATACTAGCTTCAGCACGCAAGGCATATGCAGTTAATTAGTATTCACATAGCACCCCCTGGGGAACCTAGTAGGTGCTCTGTAAATATTTGTTGAATGCATGAAGGAAGCTCTTTGTGACGGTGGAAGTTGTTTCTACTCAATCGCCCAGGCCTCGTGGTCAGTCTGCAGGCAGCTGGGAGCTTCACCCCACCCGCACTGCTACCCAGCAGAGGTACGAATTGGAGTCAGGCCCTCGGGATTGCACTGGCGAGAAACGGCGTGGCTGAGCACGCTGCGCCAAACCCCCGGCGCCACTTCCCCTCGGTCCTGAGGCCAAGACCGGGGAAGCGCAGGTCTGCAGCACCCGGAACGTGGAAGCAGAGGCAGAAAGAAGACAACAGTGCGCGGGCGGGGAAAGTCTGCGCGGTGCCGGGCTGCGCGCAGGCGGTGCCTTCCCGGTCCGGCTGACTCATTCCCAGCCGCCTCCGCTGCGGTCGCGGCCACACACACGCCCATCTTGGGGAGGGCCGTCCCGAGAGCCCCCACCGCCAGCTCAGCTTCTCCGCCCGCTCGGGCCCAGGGGCCTTCCCGGGAATCTCCGCGCGCGCCACGGGAGGCCTCGGCCCCGCGGCGCGCGCGCACCGGGAGACGCGCGGCCTCCGGGGAGCGGCGCACGCGCAGTGCAGGCGCGCGCCCCCGGCCCCGCGCGCGCCCCCGGCCGGGCTCCTGCCCGCCCCCGCCCCCGCCCCCGCCCCCGCCCGGCTCCGGCCCGGCCTCAGTCCGCGGCTAGTCGGCTGCCTGACCGAAGGCCCTGGATCCGAGTGTCGCCTGCGGTTCTGAAGACACCGGGTGGCCCGGGGGAGGGTGGGGACGACGGCGGTGCCGGGCTTCCCGGCTGCCGTTGCTGAGTGGTGTGGGTGCAGGAAGTAGAGGCAGAGGAGCCGAGGGGGGCAGCCGCGCCTGCAGCTAACGGCCTCCCGGGGCGCTGACCGCTGGGCAGGCGAACCGCTCGCTCCGGAGTTCGCGCCGCCGCCTCCGCTGCCCGGCTGTGGGGCCCGGACTTAGAGCTGGTGCCGCGGCGCAGGGAGAGGCCGGGTCCTCGCCGCCGAGGGATGTGAGCGGGAGCCGCAGTCGCTCGGGAGGGATCCGGAGGTCCCAGCCTGGCGGACGCTCGGACCCGAAGCCGTGCCCGCTGCGGGGGCTTCGCAGACCTCGGCCGGCCGGAGGCGCCCGGTAGGAGCAGGCTGGGGTCTGGGGGCGCGTCCTCGTCGCCCGGTCCGAGCAGCGGGTGGGTGTCATTGCCGTCTGCTCCCCGGGTGGGGGACAGCCCTAGTCTCTCCACCAATCCTCCCACCTCCCGGTCCCCGCTTCCCTCCCACCGCTTGTGGCAGTAAACTTGACAGCACGGAAAACCGTCCTCTTGGGGAAACGACGGAGTGTTTTGCTGTTGCTCTTTGCATCCATGTGCGCCCGATCCCCACCGCCCACTACCCCTCTTTAAAATCTTCCAGACACCCAAACAGCCTAGAGAAGAAACGAGCATTTCCCCTGGATTTCTGCGGTAGTAACTTCTTCTTTTCTTTTCTTTTTTTTTTTAGGTTTCAGAAACAGGCAAGGGAACAAGATGTGAACTGTTTTCCTTCTGCAGAACAAGAGGCCCTTCCTCCCTTCCCGCGAAGGTGGGTATGCGATCTTGGCTGCTGGAAAGGTGAGGGTGTCGCGAGCCGCGCGCGAGTGCGAGGGTAGGAAGGTGGGGAGCGTGTGTAGACCGGCAGGGTCGTGGCTTCTTGCTCCTCTGAAAATGGCAGAGCTGAACTTTTAACGTTGGTCTGGGAGGGTATGTTGGGGAAGGGGGGCGGGAGGGGGGTTGTTTATTGTTGTTCTGGGATCCTTTAAGAAGCATTCATTGTTTCTTTCTCCGCTGACTATACAAATAAACGTGGCTTTGCAGAAAAAAAACAACACATTGTCAATTACTCTTTCTCTTCGAGCAGCCAGAGAGTCTTGATCTTTCAAAGAGGAACATTTTCTAGGACTGAGAGATACCTATTGAGAGATCACGTTAGCCGTTCTTGCTGGGGTTTCTGCTGTCACATTGAATGCTTCCTGTGATGGTTTTATCTGCCTAAGTTTGCTGTGTCGGTTGAATTTACCTCGTTTGCTTTCCGGTGGTTATTAATCTGACAGGAGAAACTCTTTTCTTTCTTTCTGAATGAAGCAGCTAAGGCGTGCCATGCATAGTGGGAAGGAGAAATGTGGAGAAGGAAACAAGAAGTGGGAATAAGAGAGGTGACGATTGCTTTTGGTTTCATAATAGATTTGTGTTACTGAGTTGTTGGGCTACTGCAAATATTCTGATATCACACCCAGCAGACTTGAAGGTGGATAATCAACCTTTGGTCTCCCTCTCCCCACTCTCTTCACCTTTTTACCACTTAAAGTGCAAGAATCATTTGCTTGTATACGTACATATGTGTTAGTGTATAACAAACATATCTGCAAACTGGATGTGTCCAACACTTGCCTTAATAGTACATGTATTTACCTGTATAGGAAAGTTCCACTATATAAGCATATGATGCTTGTTTTTGCTCTAGTAGAATGACCTGTGTTTGGAGTTTATAGTGTTTTTTTTTTTAGAGGCTATTTATGGAATAGTACGGGGGATATTGAAGGACCATTGTTTGATTTGAGACAGTGTCTCAGGTATGGGATGGGAACTGATATCTTTTCTCTACCGTCACCTGGCCGTATTGCTGAAAGATGGCAGAATAGGAAACAGCGTTGGCTTTGAAGTCAGGTCTGAGTTGAATCCTGGTGTTGTGTTACTTAAAATATCATTGAGCTTCACTTTTCTTATGGTTGTTGTGAAGATTGAATAAGAATATGTATGCAAAGTAGAACATTGCTTGGTTACTATAAAAGTCTTGGCTGCTATCATGGCTGGACAGGCCAAGGAGACTCAGGGAAGGACAGAATGACTCTGCATAAGGTGATCTGCCAGTGACCAGTATTGTTTCCTCTTTAGTAAAAGGACAAAAAGGACTTTTGGGTCTTACTGGTATAGGGATTTTATAATCTCTTTATGGAAAGATTGTACTCATCTCCTTGACACCCCCTCCCACATTGTGCTGTCCCCACCAGCTATGTGCTGCCCTCTTGTGGTTAATTATGCTAAGAACTTTCTTTTGCTCCTCCCACATTGCATTTTTTTGGTCTCTTTTTAGGCCCCTTCCCTTTGCTCCCAGTTTCCCAAATTGTGCGTTGAGTGAGGTGCCCCACAGTACCAGTGAACTCAGGCCTGAACTATTTGTTTGAGGTAGTTCATAGTTTTAACATTAAATTAACACATTCCTTTCTACAATGCCATGTCTTTGCAAAGTTGTGTTTTTAGAGGTCGCTGTGATAAAAAGCAAATAGTGCATGAAAATTAATGATACAGGCAAGGAGAATGTGATGTCCGATTTAATTCCAAGGTTTGAGAAGTTGTACAGTGCCCAACACTAAGGTTTAAGGACATTAATACTTAGGTGGCTTGAACCTACCTACCTGCTTAAGCATTTCCTTTGGCCTAGGGCTCCTATGAAAAAATTACTGAGACTGAGGACTCCCTAACTGGAGAAAGTGTGAGAACCTCTGCTTTATCTTTTGGTTGGCTCTTCTGATTTAAAAATTTTTTAGTTAATGGAAAAACTGCATTTTTAAAATGTTGGTCACTAATGGATCCCCTCTCCACCAAAATTATTGATACCATTATTGATACAAGGCTAGTGTCAACTGATCATGGCTTAATATAGTTCCTTTCCTATTCATTATCTTCATAGCTTCTGCTCATTTCTTTCATTTTAAAACTAATCTTGTTGCCCATTTGTCATTCTAGTCATAGTACTGGTTTTCTAGTATATTTGATCATCTCCTCATACTCGACATCCCTCAAATGAAAATTATTATTTTATATCCTTTTGTGATTTCCTTCTCTCCTGGTTATATAGGTTTTAAATTAGGGATCATTTTAAAACTATCTCTTTCATATTAACCCATTCAACATTTCCTGTCCATATTTCTTTGTCCCTCTGCTCTGCTTCCCTCACTTTACCACCTGAATCCCAGGACTCATTTCCTCAGCCTAGAATATTGAAAGTCATAGCAACCTCCCAGAATCCAGCATCTCTTCCTTCTAGTTATCTTTAATAAAAATGTCACTATAGCTCTAGCCAGTTGCTCGTGGTTAGAGCGTCAGCCTTTGGACTGAAGGGTGCCAGGTTCAATTCCAGTCAAGGACATGTACTTCAGTTGTAGGCTTGACCCCCAGTCCCCGTCCGGGTATGTGTCTCTCTCACATCGATGTTTCTTTCTCTCTGTCTCTCCCCCTCCCTTCCATTCTCTCTCTCTAAAAAAAAAAAAAAAAAAAAAAAAAAAAAAAAGAAAGAAAAAATATCCTTTGGTGAGAAGTAACAAAAAATAAAAATATCACTCTATTACTCCTTATTGTTGTTGTTCTCTTGCCCCATATCTTCACTAGCTTCCCACTTTATACCTATTAAATTTAAGTTCCTTTTTCTTGCTTTCAAGATACTCTATCATCATTCCTTACCCTATTTATTCAGTGTTTTGTCTAAGGACCCTCTGTAAGCATTCTCTGCTATTGACTTGCAAGCTGCTTTTCACACTTTCTAATAGCAGCTGTGCTTATTTCCAACTTTTAACTTTCATTCACTTTTTTCATACTTTTTCCACCAAGGCCCAGTTCTGTATCCTATTGCACTGCTTACTAGACATGGAATAATTGAGCAGGGCTTCAGTCTCCTCATCTGAAAAATGAGGAGAATTATAGTATTTTTTCCTTAGGGTTGTAGTGAAAATTGAGTTAATACATGAAAAGTTCTCAAGACCAGTGCCTGGCACATTAAGCACACCTTCAGTTTTAGGAATTATTATAATGATTTACCACTCCTATTATTACTACTATTATTATCACTGTACTTCCAGTTAAAATTCTCTCATTTGTGAAACTGTTTCACTAAATATGCTTTTCCCCTTCACTGTATTTCTATAATTTCTATTTTTGCATAGTTTACTTGTATACCATGTGTTGGTTGTTTGATAGTTATTTCCCTAGAGTAGTAATGGCGAACCTATGACACGCGTGTCAGAGGTGACACACGAACTCATTTTTTTGGTTGATTTTTCTTTGTTAAATGGCATTTAAATATATAAAATAAATATCAAAAATATAAATCTTTGTTTTACTGTGGTTGCAAATATCAAAGAATTTCTCTATGTGACACGGCACCAGAGTTAAGTTAGAGTTTTTCAAAATGCTGACACACCAAGCTCAAAAGATTCGCCATCACTGCCCTAGAGTTAACCATATTTTTTCAGATCGATAGTGTGTGCTTTGATGAACAATACCTAGAATTAAACCAGCACATTCACAGCCCAACCAGTGTGGCTCAGTGGTTGAGCGTTGACCTATAAGCCTGGAGGTCCCAGGTTCGATTCCTGGTCAGGGCACATGCTTAGGTCACAAGCTCGATCCCCATTGGGAGAGAGAGAGAGAGATAGAAACATCAATGATGAAAGAGAATCATTGATCAGCTGCCTCCGTCACCCCCCCACTAGGGACCGAGCCTGCAACCCAGGCATGTGCCCTTGACCAGAATCGAACCTGGGACTCTTCAGTCCACAGGCTGACTCTCTATCCACTGAGCCAAACCAGCTAGGGCCAATAAAAATATATTTTTTTAAAAAGCACAGAGTGCTAAGCACATGGGGAGCATTCAGTAAATGCTGTGTATTAAAAAGGAACTTTAGTCAGTCACCAAATATTTATTAATACTTACAATGTAAAAGGTACATTGCTAAGTCCAAAAGACTTGATTGAAATGAAGTATTGTATGGAGAGTAGTAAGAAATCTGGTTGAAAATGTAAGTTGGAATTAGATTATGGATGCCTTTAAGAGCTGGGATGAGAAGAATGTACTAGTACTTGTATCTCTAGGTAACAGAGAAATTTTTAAAATTTTGGATTGAGAAAGAGCTTGCTAAAAGAAGTATTTTAGGAAAATCAGGGAGGCTGCAATGTGAGGCATAGTATGTGTTGAAGTGATATGTGAGAAGTGATAGAGTAGGAAAATAATCTAGGCCTGAAGTAATGAGGATTTGCACTTAGTGGGGGTAAAGACAGAGATGTCACACAAGATTTCATTATAGATTGTATAGGAAAGGAAGATGTGGGGCGGGGTTAAGGGAGGCAGGGAGGAAGAAGAGTAATCAAAGATGACTTTGAGATTTTGATCTTCTGTGACAGAGGAAATGAAGTGTTGCAACTGTAAGACATCTGGGCCACAATATATACATTTTGTGCGTTAAGAATATGAGAACCAGAGAGATTTAAGTGTGTCTAAAATTACTCAGCTAGTTAGTGACAAAGAAATAACTAGAATTTTATTAATGGCAGTATTGACAGAAATAGGTGTGAAAGTATTAGTAGATGGTTGAGAAGTTACAGATATAAGCTGGGCTTATATTTTGGATATGTTGAGTTTGAGATGACAGTGAGATAGTCAAGTGAAAATAGATAGCCAGACAGTGGGACATATAACTAGAACTTGGTAGAAAAATTTAAGGCTGGGATTGTAGTGCTCAGAGTAAAGAGCTAGACCTAAAATTGAGTCTTGGGAATTGCTTGTAATTAGAGAACTGGCAAAGGAGATGAAGAAGGAGCAGTTAATATGAGAAGTAAGGGGATAGGTAGTTTAAGAAGGTGAGAATGATTAAAAATGTTGATTGTTGTTGATTATTGGCAACAAATGAGAAGAATCAGAACTGAAATAAGGTCTTAAAAATGTGTGCTAGTATTTTACCTGGCATGAAATCTAGAAAAGCAGAATATAGAAGAAATTGTTTATAGTTTCCTCATGCAGAAATAACTGCTATTAATATTTTGTTCTTTCTAGTATGACAGATGATCTTTGGATTTGACAATTGGCTGAACAATGGAGACTTCTATCCAAAACTCTTATCACTGGGACTAATGATGAGAATTTTGGGCATAATAAAGACTGGGAGGTATTTTCTACAGAGTGTTTGTCATTTTTCTGTGTCCTTTCATTTCACACAACATAGGTATTGCTATTCCTTGTGGACATTAGCCCTGCATTTGTATTATTTGAGTAAGTAGACATTCAATGATTAGCATTATACATTTAGTGATCCAGTAGTTAGAAAGTGATTTCTGGGTGCTATTGTACTGGTAAAATTTGAATAAAACACTAATGGATGAGTTTCTAAAAGGAAGAGGAATTTACCCTGGCTGGTGTGTCTCAGTTGGTTGGAGTGTTATCTGTACAAGGTTCGATTTCCAGTCAGGACACATGCCCGAGTTGTGTCTTGATCCCCAATAAGGGCATGAATGGGAGATAACTGATCAATGTTTCTTCCTCATGTTGTTTCTTCCTCTCTCTCCCTTTCTTCCTCTATTTATTTTTTATTTTTAAATATTTTTATTGATTTCAGAGAGGAAGGGAAAGGGAGAGAGAGAGAGAAAAACATCATTGATGAGAGAGAATCATTAATCAGCTGCCTCCTGCACGCCCCCCACTGGGGATTGAGCCCACAACCCAGGCATGTGCCCTTGACTGGAATCGAACCTGGGACCCTTCAGTCCTCAGGCTGACGTCCTATCCACTGAGCCAAACCAGCCAGGGCTCTTCCTCTCTTTATAAAAAAAAATCAATAAAAAGCATATCCTTGGGTGAGGAAAAAAGTTAAAAAAAATAAAAAGAAGAGAACTTCTTGATAGATAACTTAAAACTGAAGTTAGCATGATTGAAAGTATTCAGTTTTGGAGACTGAAAGCATTATCTATTTTTGAAGCCCGTGTGGTATAGCTAACAGAGGTGAACTAGGTTGGGATAGTCCATGGGCTATTTGTTTTGCTTGAATGCTTATTTGGATTTCCCCAAGGACATCTTTCAGCCTTATTTTTTGATATCAGTCCTTGTGGATAAGGTATTCATTGTTGCTTATTAAATTATCTTAGTTTAATAAATTCTGACTATGAAATATAATGCCACTAGGCAATATTTTTGTAATATGCGAGGTAATGAGATGTTTTGGGAATCGGAATTAGGGACTGACTTTCCTGTCAGCATGGTGTATGATTTTGAGCCAGACCCATAATCATTGAGTCTTCTATTTTCCTTATTTAGATAATGAAGAATGGACTAAATATTTTTTTAAACTTTATTTTAAAAGGGTGGAATCATGTAGTAAAATGTGTATAAATTTCACAACAGTGTCCTCTGGTGTTTACCTCTCTATTTCTAAATAACAATCTACCATCAGTATCCCCCCCTACCTCATTCTGTGTCTGTACCTATACTCTGCCTTTTTCCCCTTTGCAATGAATGAACTGCTCAGTGCCACATCTAAGGCTTCTCCATCTACTTGTATAGAGGAATCCATCTCCGTTTGCCTCCAAGGACTTTGCCATTCTACCTCTCCCTCTTTTTCTTATATCCTCATTTTTTTCTCTCTACTAGATCATTTCAATCAGTATGTAGTCTGGTTGCTATTGCTGCATGACATAACTACCCCAAAACTTGCTAATGTAAAACAACTATTTTGTTAGACTCACAGATATTATGGGTCAGTAATTCAGATTGGGCATACCAACGATGGTTTGTTTCTACTCCACAATGTCTAGGACAGTGATGGTGAACCTTTTGAGCTCGGCGTGTCAGCATTTTAAAAACCCTGACTTAACTCTGGTGTCATGTCACATATAGAAATTTTTTGATAATTGCAACCATAGTAAAGCAAAGACTTATATTTTTGATTTTTTTTATATATTTAAATGCCATTTAACAAAGAAAAATCAACCAAAAAAATGAGTTTGTGTGTCACCTCTGACACGCATGTCATAGGTTCACCATCACTGGTCTAGGACTTCAGATGGGAAGACTCTTTGACTGGGGGTAACCTGAAGGTGGGGACTGGAATCATTTGGAGGTATCTTCACTCATATGACTGATAGTTGGTGCTGGCAGTTAACCAAGATCTCAGCTGGGGCTGTTAATGAGCATTTACATGTGCCCTGGACCTCCTTACAACATGGAGGCCTCAAGATAGTTGACTTTCTTGATAAGTCAGGATTTACTTTTTTTTTTTTTTAATTGATTTTTTACAGAGAGGAAGGGAGAGGGATAGAGAGTTAGAAACATCGATGAGAGAGAAACATCGATCAGCTGCCTCCTGCACACTCCCTACTGGGGATGTGCCTGCAACCAAGGTACATGCCCTTGACCGGAATCGAACGTGGGACCCTTTGGTCCGCAGGCCGACGCTCTATCCACTGAGCCAAACCGGTTGGTGAGTCAGGATTTAAAAGCTAGTGTTTTGGTGAACATAGTGATGGAGGGAGGGGTCTGAGGATTCGACTCCACTTATTAATAGGGGGTGGCAAGGTCACATTGTAGAAGAAAACATGTGGAATGGGAGATATTGCTATGGCCGTCTCTAGACAATACTATTGCCATAGTTTGCCCTTTTGCCACACTACACATCCCTTCCACACCGAAAACATGCAAAATATACTAACCTCCTCCTCAGAGACCTCTAATTCACATCCCTTTATGACTTCAGCTCAAAATCTAGTATGTCATCATCCAAATCAGGTCCAGATACAGATCAGGTTCCTTTGGTATGGTTTCTTGAGAATGATTGCTCTTTACTTGTCTGTGAAGAGACAAGTAATATGTCCCCACATAATTACCATATGAGATTAGAAAGGCACATGTTAACCACAGTACACTTTCTTGTTCAAAAAGAGAGACGAGGGAGGCACACAGCAGTCTATAGCAATTCTAAAACATGGCTGGGTGCACATTGGCAGTTTCTTGATTGGAGCTCAGTCCTACTTCCTAGTTCTTAGTGTGCCATGGCCGCTTCTTTTGGTCTTTGGTCTCACCTTCTGAATCATTCTTTTTTCCCCCAGAAGAATTTATCTGTGTTTGCAGCTGAGTAATCTTCTGAGTTTGCTTTATGCCTATAGTGTGGTTTAGGGTCCAAAGCCTCCTTTTATTTTATATAGTTACTGTCCCTTTCATTCTAAGCTAATATAACTTCTTTAAAAATTTTGTGTACTGGCTGTGTATTAATTGACTCCATCAGACAAAAGCTATACCCACAAATCTCTTACAGCAATCTTTTTCCTATTTTCGGCTTCCTGTGAGGCTGCTGTGGAACAGCACTCTTACGATTCTTGGATAATTTTGTGTCTGAGAGAATCTATGAGGTACTGACTTAGATCTTGCTGAGGTTTTAACAATGAATCTTACAGTCCCAGTCTAAATGGATCTTTCCCCTGAGATCTTTTTTTACTTCAAGAACACTTTGCTGGCTGAAAAGACTGTTCTGAGTCCTTTACATTTCTTGAAATTCCATTCAAAAAGTGAATAGCTCATTCTTTAGTTCATCTCTCTCTGCTCTCTTAATTATAAAGGCAGCTAGAAGAAGCCAGCTGCTTCTTCAACATTCATTAAGTACAGTTGACCCTTGATCAACACTGGTTTGAAATGGGTGGGTCCACTTATAGGTAGATTTTTTTCAATAAATATATCAAATTTTTGGAGATATGTGGTAATTTGAAAAACTTGCAGAAGAACTGTGTAGCTTAGAAATATTGAATAAATTAAGAAAAAGTTAGGTATGTCATGAATGCACAAATATATGTAGATACTATCTTATCATTTTATGATATTAATGAAGTATACACAAATCTATTATAAAAACTTAAAATTTATCAAAACTTGGGCACACAAACACAGCCTGTACATGGCACCATTTGTTGCTGAAATAAATGTAAATAAAAGAAAGACACAGTATTAAATTATAACTGCATAAGATTAACTGTAGTACATACTGTACTACTCTAATAATTTCATAATCACCTCTTGTTGCTATTGCAGTGAGCTCAAGTGTTGTATCTGCTTAGAATGCTGTGACACTAATTATCTGCATGTGAGCAGTTCATCTCTCCAGTAAATTGAGTATCGCAAAGTGATCTCTTGTGGTTCTTGCCTATTTTTCATTGTTTACTGCAATACTGTGAACCTTGAATAACACTGGGGGACCCATACAAAGTGCCATGTTGGAAATACTCCTCACAACAAGTTGACTTGCTTGACATGTACCAGATTGAAGTATGCAGCTACAGTTGACCATCATTTCAAGAAAAATGAATCCAGCATAAGGACCACTATAAAAAAAAGAAAACGTTTGTGAAGCTATCACTGAAGCTACGCTAGCAGGTGTGAAAACCATGTACTTTTTGCTAACTACTGTTTTATCTCATATAGAAAATGTACCTTTTATGTGAGTGCAGGCTTGTTATAAGAAAGACATAACTATGAACTGTAATATAATTCCAAAAAATGTTAAGTCATCATATGAAAACTTAAAGCAAAATTAAGGTGAAGAATCTAATGCTGGAGAATTTAAGGCCAGCAAAGGAAGGTTTTGATAATTTTAGAAAGAGATTTGGTGTAAAAAATGTCAAGATAACAGGAGAAAGAGCTTCTGCCGAATAAGAAGCAGCAAACGAGTTCTGGATGTTATTAAAGTTGTTGAGGAGAAGGATATCTGCCTGAACAGGTTTTTAATACAGACAAAAGTGCCCTATTCTGGAAAATGCCAAAGGACTATTAGTTACGGAAGGGAAATGAGCACCAGGCTTTCAGGCAAGGGTAGGCTAACTCTACTGTTTTGTGCAATGCAGTCAGGTTTATGACCAGGACTGCCCCTATCTATAAAGCTGCTAACCCTGGAGCCTCGAAGAGAAAAGAAAATATCAGCTGCCAGTCTTTTGGTTGTACAAGAAAACCTGGACAACAAGAACCCTTTTTCTGGATTGGTTTTTTGGATGCTTTGTTCCTAAAGTCAGTACCTTGCTAGTAAGAGTTCTTATGGTACTGGACAATGCCCTTGGTCACCTAGAACCTTATGAATTCAACACCAAAGGCATCGAAATGGTCCATTTGCCCTCAACCACATTGTTTCTAATTCAG